TCTCTTGGGAGGATGGGAACAGAGCGTTCCATTCCATTTGGTCTGGTGAGTAACTTGGAGTGTGCCGTCGGAAGTGCGTGTACAGCTGGTGGAGGGCAGGCAGGCCCTGAGGACGTCAGTCAGCTCACCGTTCCACCTGGAGCTCTCCCAGACCTTGTGGGGAGCCCATCTGCTCCCATACCCAGTCCACATAGTTGGAGACCTTCGTGTAGACCCCATAGACCTGCTTGCTGCCACATTCTTCAGGGCCCCCCCAGGACACCAGGCCTTGGGCCACCCAGCGCTGGCTCAAGTCATCCAGAATGACAAAGGCCCCACCACTGTCTCCGAGGCATGTGTCTTTGCCACCCTCGTAGTAGCCGGCACAGAACATGTTCTCCGTGACGCTGTAGTTCCCCGACCGGGACTCATAGCTGGTTTTGCACTCTGCATACGGCACCACGGGTAACTTGACGTACTGCAGGACATCTGACAAGGTCCGCGTGCCACTGCTGATGATCTCATCCACTGTCACATTAGGATTGGAGATACCCCAGCCAGCTACCAAGCCCAGCATGTGGGGCTCTGGGCCTTCCGGCTCAGGAGTTGGCAGGCAGATGGGCATGACGTGGGGCCCCAGGGGCACAGGCTCCAGCAGCTGCACCAGAGCTATGTCATGGTTGTAGTTCTGGATGTTGAAGTCTGGGTGGAGCACCACTTGTGCCGCAGAGCTGTTGACAGCCCCTGATTTGTCCCGCACATCATGCAGGCCCAGGTAGACGGTGACATGCTCCTTGGAGACCGGGATTACTGTGTTGTCTCTTCGCTGGGAGCGCAGCACGTGGGCTGCTGTTAGGATCCAGGACTCAGAGAGCAGGGCCCCACTCCCAAACCACTTGTCGTTCGGCACCCTCGAGGTGTCCTCCACCACTATCAGGGCCTGCCACGGAAAGAGGCCAGGCTCAGCATTCCGGCCCCCGATGATTCTCTTGACCAGGTTTGGCAGTGAGCGGGAGGGCTGACCACACACTGTAAGGAGAAGGAGGGAATGGGGACAAGAAACAGGAACTGGTCAGATCAGCCACATGAAAAGAGCCACGGAAAGAAATTCACATCTCATCCACTGTAGATTATGCCACCATGGGACCCTACTCTACATTACAGGACCATGGTGGCCCGGGAGAGCTCTGCATGGGTGTGACCTTTGACCCAAGTCTTTCTAGTTGGCCTGTGTGTGGTCTGGCCCTTCTGTAGCCAGTGCCATCTATGGACCAGACCATTGCATGCATGGGCCTTCACCATCCTGAACCATTTCCAGCCAAGTTCACTTTGGCCTGGATATTCCAGAAGTGGCCCATGCTGTGGGCCATGATACTTAGAAAACTTCTGGAAACCATAGGTCATGGGCTTTGAGAGATGGAAGGAAACTAAAAGACTGTCTAGCAGGTCACAGTGAACACTGGACTGGGAGCCAAGATACCTGGGGCCTTCACCTGGCTTTTCTCTCCTATGTCCTGTGTGACCCTGGGTAGGTAAATTTGTCTCTCTGGACTTAAATTTTTGACCTGCTAAATGAGGCAGTTGGTCAATATGATCTCTGTGGATCTTTCAAATTCCAAATTCCCTCAATTTTTATTTCATGTTCCCTGGCCACCCCCATTCTATAGGCGAGTAAAACTCTCCAGATGTTAAGCAATTAGCCCAAGGTCACATGGCTATGAAGTTAACAGGGGCATTAGCAGAGGGCTTAACTAGATTCTAAGATCAAGGTCTTATCCTGTTTCCCACAGTGCCTCATTACATATACAAATCATGGTCATGGGCTCTATAACTTTTTCTTCTTTGGCCTAAAGGACTCATGCTCTGAATGCATGCCCGGGGCGTCCAGGGTTAGGGAAACGTGGCATAATCTACAAGCAATGATGCATAGGCCCTGCTCTGAGCCACCCATCATTGCACCCAGGAACCCTGTAGTACCTTCAGGGGAAGAAGAAAGGTCTGATCAAACTTCGTTCCACTGAGTTGTACCCCGAGCATGCACATGCACCACCAGCCTCCTGCAGCCAAACGCCTTTGGCCCATGAGCAGGGGGTCTTCAGTACCACTCCACCGCTGGCCAAGAACAAGCTCACATGAGCCTTCCCAGCAGGGTTCTTAGGCCTAGGAGGTAAGCCTGGTGTGAGTATGGGCTTCTTCCTGGTTGCAAATAGCCAGGCTACACTCTTTGGTCCTGGATACTTTCAATGATCCTTTAAAGACCAAGGAACATTTGAGTTTTCTTGGCAACTTTGGGAGGTCAGGTTTTCAGCAATTTCATGCTTTTCAGATGTTCTTCTTCCTGATGCCAAAGGCTTCTTACATGATCCTTATGCACCCTGTCATTCCCACCAGGCTAGATGTGAGCTGGCCTTTGCTAACTTTCTGTGGCCTGGTCTTCCAGAGTGGAAGGCCAGACTCTTAGTTGCAAGCCGCAGCCTATGGGGTGACATCTCAAGGCGATCTGTGACTGGCCCTGCACAATAGCTCATTTAGTGCTGAAAGGCCCTCATCTGGTGAGGGCTGGGCCCGTGGCTGAGTCCATGTTTACAACAAAGCCAGCACTGAATGGTGCCTTTTGCCAATGTCAGGGCTGGGGAAGCTTGGAGAACCACTAATTTACAGATGCAGAAATCGAGGTTCAGAGAAGACAAGTGACATACTCAAAGTCATTAGTGACAGAGCCAGAAGAAGAGCCCATTTCTTCTAACTCTTGCTTCATTTTCTCCACTAGAGTCTGTTTTTCTTCTTGATATGCTTTTGTCCTTTCAAGAGGTTGAATGATGCAACGAGCTTTGAGAAAGCTCATTGAAATGAGGCCATTCTTCTTGGCTGCTACCATTCTCCATCCAGTCTTTCCTGGAACAAAGGTGTCTTCTTGAAAACCTAGAGCTTCAGCTGTGCTGAAGCCAGATTCGGGCTCTAGAGCACTGGAGGTACTGAGGGAGGGTCCTTAAAACAAAAATGTGATATTCTAGAATTCTGGGTCCATGAGGATGGCATGAAACACAATCAGAGTCGAGAACGTCCCAGCATTGCTTGTGCTTATATGAAAGTCTTCGCTTCACCTTCCAGCTCTGCCCCTAACTCTGTGGGTAGCCTTGGGCAAATCATTACACCTCACTGCTCCTCAGTTTTCTCACATGTAAAATGAAGGGCAAATAATATTTGCTTAATAAGGTTCCCTGGAAAGGTGGATATTATGATGCTAGATAAAATGGCTTTCTCCTTTCTGGCTTGCTTCTGTGTTCAATTTTGATGTTTTAGGAAGAAAGAATTTAGAAATCTCTGGCATGGTCCAATGGTGAACCATGGTTCTTCCCAATACCAGGTATTAAAAGAATTTCATGACTCCCTGTATCTAAGATGCTTTGTATAAATATAGAGGATGATGACCGTTAAGGGTCATAGAATGTTATGGATCACCTTGTCCTGCTCCCTCACTTCTGAGGTATGGAATCCTAGCCTCAGAGAGGTGAGATTACTTATCAAAGATCACAATAAGAAAATGATAGCACCAGGACTAGGACCCAAACCCCTGACTCCCAGCTCAATGCCTCTTCCCCTTCCAGAGGTTGCAACATGGCTGCCCAGGACGAAATTTGCCTGAAATGCTTTTTCCTTTGGCCCACATGGTATTTTAGCAAAATGGGAATTAGATTTTTCAGTTTGCCACAGCTCCACCATCCCCTATCTTTTCTGAGGGTTCACCAACTGTGCCCTTGAGTATGCTCCAGACTAAGCCTAAATGAGATGATAGGAATCAGCAGAGTATGAGTGGGTTGACCTTTCCTCTGCTCCACCTCCTCCAAGTTCTTTCTTGGGCATAAAGCCCTCCCAAGTGAAGTCTTCCTAACCAGTGCTCACCCCTGCACTCCCAGACTACCACACGCAGTGAATTCCTCCTTCTCTAGGATCTCATAGCCACTGTGATGGCCAACATGGAATGCTAACATTTTCTTTGTTTTTTAAGGACAATGGCAGACAACTCCATAGTCTTTCCATTTTAACATCTAAATCTAACATCTAGAAGCTTACTGAGTGGATATTGATGGTTACTAAAATGTACCATTCAGATAATACACTTAGTTTTCCCAACACTCTAATTCATAAAATACAAATGCCACCCGACATTTAACTACACGGCAAAGCTCCTGCTTTGCTGCTTTTCCAGCGAACATGCAGATGGGATCAGCATCGATCCCCAGTGCTGCTCTGAATGGTTGTGTCTTTCAATTAATTCTGCTTGATTAATTAAATCAATTGTGCTATTCTTGCTTTTATTACAAGTATAAATTTCTGTGCCTGGACTATTAATTTTTTTTTTTGGTGTGGATTATTTGTTTCACCCTACAGTGTGCATTTGAGGCTATAATTTCCTAGTAAGTCGATTTGAATGTAAGTGTGCCCTATGATTGCAATGCAAATCACCCATACTTTTAAGGCTAAAGCAAATATCTACAAAATCTCCCCCAAATCTCTATGCATAGTGACACTTTCTATTACCACAAAATTCTTTTATCATTTTAAAGTGGGGTCAGTAGGTGAGCCATAGAGTCGTAGCAGTCAGTAAGACTTGAACAGGTTGCTCTTTGGAAGAACTTCTTACTCTGTCCTATACTTGTTATTTGTCTTACGTTGCTCATCTCCTCTACAGCACAGTGAGTGCTTGAGGACAGGATGCCCACATTCCTGATTTCCCTGGTGCACAGCTGGTGCACACACAAACTGTTGGAGGGATAGCCTGGTGGGAAGGGAGCAGAACTGCAGAGAAAGGAGACAGGAAGGCTCTTGGTGTGATAGCACAGGCTGAATATAGAAGCTGGTTGGTTTGCAAAGGTGTGAGGCTGGGCTTCTGTATCCTTGGCTCTCTGAGGTATCTTTTAACAAAGAACCAAAGCATCATGGTCCCCATCCCCACTCCATCAACAGCCAGAGCACCTTGGATGGGAGACCTGGAGGCAGAGGACTTGAGAGTCAGGTACCTGGCAGGCATGTGGGCTGGCTTCTCCCCAGTACTTCATTCATCCAGACTCCTTGGGCAGAACAGGTATATATACCTGGGTGAGTGAAAAAAGGTGGGAGAAGAGGGAGAAAGGGTTGATTTGTAGCACGTAGAAAATAGATGTGGGTTCTTAATTCTATGGTGGATGACTGCACGTCTTCCAAATGGTCTCTCTGATGCCATTCTCTTTAAGCCAGTCCTCCCTGAAACCTGAAGGATCTTCCTAAAATGGGTATCTATGCTTTCCCTCTGCTCAGAATCACCAATGGCTCCCCACTGCCCTCAAAAACAAACAGCACACTCTTCAGCAGGGTGCCTGAAGCTCTGCACAATCAGACTTCTGCCTGGGGGCAGGGTGCTCCTCCCTCTGCCCCCGCACCCCCAGCAGGCACTTCCTCCCCCTCAGGCACCAGGTCCCCCAGAGTTCTCTGTGGCACGCTTGCCTTCTCTCCTTTCCCCACTTAATAAACTTTTTAAGAAACCACACTAGTGTCTACCATCTTGTCTGAGTCTTACATTAGTTCTGTGAATTATACCGCTGCTCCCCTCTTGGAAAGTGAGGACTTGGAAGTTTAGAGAAATTGGAAGAATTTTCTTAGTACCAGTCTGTGGTGGAGGCAGAACTGCAGGGCTTTGCCATCTCGCTGAGGGTTCGTTCTCTGCCAGGGGCTCTGGGTGTGCATGTGAGGGTACTGGGATACCCTGTGGCCTAACCCCTGGGACATCAGCCTGAGGCAGGGAGAGGTGAGGCATGCCCCCTAATGTTTCTCCTCCCAATTCCTCCCAAACTTCAGCCAGTGGTCTGGCTGCTGCAGCCCCCAGTCCAACCCTGAGACCCAAATGGTGTGAGGCGGGAATGCGCTGGTTTAGCACGGACGCCTCACCTGTGATATTGTGGAGCATCTTATAGTACGGCTGTTGGCAGGAGTACTGGATCTCAGATTTATATGTGGTAAGGTTGTTCCTGGTGGAGAAGGTGATCAGCCCATGTTTCAGCTCTGCTGGGGCTCCACAGTCTGCAACTGAGAAAAGAGAGTGACACCCCCAATTAACCTTTGCTCTTCTACTTGGGGCCATATGGTGGGTCTGTCTCACAGAGATGTGCAGGTTGTGCACCGCACACACCTGCAGAGAGCAACGCTATAGTCTATGAGGATGGTACAGGGCCTGTGCCTTCTGGATGGTCTGCCTTGGGGTGGTGCTGCTTTGGGGGTCTCTCCCATCCACTGTGGCACTACCGTGTGGCCAACTCACCTGGCCTGGTGTCAACTCCAGGGCAGGGGCAGGACTCCTGAGATTTAAGCAGACCCCAGACTTTCCCCCACATAGCCCTTCCCTTGACTTCCGTTCTATTACGCAATCCTCTTAGTCACTGCTGCCCAAGCACGAGGCCTCTAGCTCAGCGAAAAAACTCTGGCTGACACAAACAGAAGAATCTTCAGTTCTTCCTGACCGAGCACATGCTGAGTAAGAGCAGTTAATGTGCTCACATGGGTGCTTGGCATACAAAAACCGAAATCAAACAGAAAGAAAGCAGCTCCTGCATGAGTACAGGACCCCACCCTGCTGGCTCTCCATAGGCATCTTGCTTGGTCACCGAAGGCAGGAGGTGAGATCCGGGGTAGACTAAGTTCTCATTGTTCACCTGCTTATGTTCTCCAATTGCTGGGGGCTGGATGTTGGCCCTCGCTGTAGGATGCCTGCTCCTCAGAGGTGGTCTTAGGGGCATTGTCAGCACAGAGTCCAGCATGAGTCCGTCAGAAGCCAAGTCACAGGCTGAGGCCCCAGTTTGTCAGGGCCTCTTCGGGAGCTTCCTTTAGGGAGTGGTGTTCACTTCTAAGGACATCTTCATCTTAGGTCTAACAGGCTATGCCAGAATTGGAGAATCACAGAAGAATCATGGAACTTTGTAGTTGATAAGGAACCCCAAGGCAGACAATCCAGAATATCATTTTAACTTTACAGATGAGCTCAGAGAGGAGACTTGGCTGGCCTAAGATCACACAGCGAGTTACAATCAGAAAACTAGACCTGACTTTAAACCCAGTGTTCTTTTAAGAAACCCAACTGAACAGTTCTTAAGGAGCTCTTTTCTACTTAAAATGGCTTAAAATCAATATTAACTGGGTAATTAGCTATTAATTAGCTATTAATCTCCTGGTTATTTCAGAGGACAGCATTCCAAAAAGAAGAATTTCCAGTTTCCCCGCTCCTTGGGACACAGAAAGAGGGCAATTTGCCCTTGAGATGTTACCCAGAAATTGTAGTTTTTAAATTTAGAACTCTAAATTCATCATTTTGATTGAATAAAGAGTTACCTAATCTAAAACAGAGGTGACTCCAAGGCCCTGCATTGTGGAGGAGGGGTGAAGGCTAAGAGAGCAAAACAGGTGCCTCCTACCCACAAGGAAGGCAAAAGCCGAGAGAGCTGGTTAATCTTTGGTCTTGACCTCTAATCCCCTTGGACAAATCATTCCCGTTCGTTTTGATCACCCAGAAATGGAGACACTCTTCCACACTGTGTGAGTGAGAGTCAGCACTAGGACCACGAGAGGCGATAATAGCTATTATTTAAAGCCATAACACAGTTTTAAATGTATTTTCTTGCTGAGTCTCAAAGCAGATTTTTCTTCCTTTTTTAGGAAATGCCATTGACTGGTGCCTGGATCTTGGTATTACTCTCGTCTCTCCTAACGTTGGCCTAGGAGTTCATTTTGCCTAGAGTATTCTCCGAACCTAATACCTAGTTCCAGGGGGAGGAATTGCAGTGTTGGCCTTGGACACGGCTAGCTGGTCAGGCTATTGAGAGCCTGTTACTTGGCCAGCAAGGGTGGGGAGTCATTTCCTGAGTTGAGGGCCTGCTTTCCTATCACTCCAGAGAAGTAACTTTGCTGGCCCTACAGCCAGATAGAGGTGAGAAGTAGTATAAAATAGAGGGTCGCTTCAGCTTGGCTATGGTGAGTGGGGGGTGGTATGCTTCTACTCCCAAGTCTACTGTGGCAGGTGAACGGCCATGTCTCTCTGGGACCTGGGGATGACTTCCCTTTCCAAGGGGCCTTGAGCCCTGGCACAATCAAAGATGCTACACCCAGAGGCCGCTTCCTCAGCTGGTCTTGCTTCTTTGCTTTAGGAAGGGTCTCACCCTTTCCCTAACGTTCCCTCTGGCCACTTCCACACCTTGGAATCAAAATGTCCTCCATGTTTCTATTCCCTTGGCCTCCCTTTCTCCTCATTCCCTGGGATGGGATATACCACCCCACACTCTGTCTCTGCTGTCATCTCTGGCTGACATTTATTTTCCTTCAGACACATCTTTCTTGACCCGCCGTCCTGAGTGTGCTCTGCCACAATCTGGGGCTTCCTGGAGAACGACGCCCCATGAGCTCCCCTCGGCCCTCCGGCCTCAGGGACGGCCCCCTACCCCAGCACCTCTTCGTCCCAGTCCTCGGTGCACCTGAGCTCCAGCATCACACAGCCCTACACTGTGCCGCTCCCTCACCTGCTTTCCCCACACCAGAACCCCTGGGGTCCATGCTCTGGCCACCTCGAGGCCTTGATCAAACACTGCTTCTTCTTGAGAGTCTTTTTGCAGTCTTCTAATTGGATAGGGCTGCCTCCTCCTTTGTCCTTACAGAGGCCTCTATTCACACTCATCTCTCTGACGCATTTATCTTATGTTGCCCCGTATTGCCATTATTGGGGCCCATATCAAATCTTCTGCCTAAATTGGGATTCCCTCTGTCTCACTGAGTACAATATCTGTTACACTTTGGGGACATAACCATATTGATTGAACTGATGCTCATCTTTACTGACCACCTCCTCTCTGCTCTCAGGGGCACCCCTGCCCTTGGCTAGCACCACAATCTATGCACCTGCCATTGTCCACCCTCGCAGGGTTCTGACTGCATCAAGAGCCCATGTAATCACCACACAGACTGGGTAGTCACAGCGTAATGCGTGGCTTCTCTGATACGTCTATTCCGGTTTTGTTCAGGCTGAAGCAGAGGTTCCCACCGCCACTACAGAGCCCTTTATCGTGGGACCCAGTGATGTCCCACGGCACCAAAGCTGAGGACTGCTGCTTTTGAGGGTGAGACCTCTTTTTGAAACCTTTAATCAGTGAGTTTTCAGAAATGCAAGATTTGTAAGCCCCGGCCCAGAGGAAAGAACCTCTGATAATGCACTTTCAGCTCCGGGTTAGGTGCAGGTGGAATAGAAACTTTCATGGATGAGGCTATGTCTAGGTTTCCTACAAAACCTACGCTCTATGAGTTATTGTTAGTTTCACCTACTCCTGGTTGTTAGAAAGTAGCAACAGATAAAAATATTAAAGTCATCAAGTCACAGGCCTTCTGGCTCATTTCAGCTTCAAGTGTGGAGTGGATTAGGAACCAGGGCCCACTTGACCTGGTCAGCCTAGGGGCATGTGGTTGTATATGAAATCGTGGGTCTCTAGGACCAAAGTCATCTGTCCTTTGAGAAGAGTACTGTCCACTTGGAAGTGCTAAAAAAAAAAAAAAAAAAAATCCCCCTCGTCCTCTCATTATTTTCCAGCGTACTGATTGAATGATGAGTGAGCCCTCCAGTGGAGAATTGTCCTTTACACAGCAGTTTCAACTGCTTGACTGTGTTGCCTGGTTCAGCATCCACACTAATCCGCACAGAAATTGGAAATGGAGTGTTGGCGGGGTGGGGAGGGGTGCAGTAGTCTGGGGCCCCAGGGTCTTGTGAGTGGTCCATTCCTGGATGTCTGCACTCTGTGGGGTCCCGTCATTCACTCTGTCTCTTGCTCTGACCCGAGTTCGTTCTCCTCATCCATTTCGGTTTCTGCCACCAGGGTGAAGATCAAAGAAGGGTCAGGAGGTGCAGGGAAAGGAAGCAGAGAGAAGAAGAGAGAGAGAGAAAAAGAAGAGAAAGAGAAAAATTAGCAAGCAAAGCAGAAACAGTTCATGCAGGAAATACAGAAATCGCTCCACTAGACTAAGAATGCAGTTGAGGTACAGCCGGTGTGGGTGGCAGTTTGGGATTGTGGAATTTGTACCATTCTGAGAATTTGCACAGTCATAAATCCTGGCTCATGAGGATTACAGCATTCTGCCCCTGGAGCAAGCTTTGTATTCATCTGGTCCAAACCTTCATTTGACACGCGGCATTCAGGGTGGAGCAGGACTTGTCTTGGGTCACCGTGGCAAGGTGGAGGCAGGGTCGGGACAACAACCCACAATTTCCACTTCCTATTCCAGTGCAAGTTACTTCAACACACATGCACACTTCCTGTCTGTGCCCCACCTCTTTCCCACAATCCCCAGGGACTTGAAATTTCTCAGTCTTGCTCATCTTTGCACCTCCCTTAGGACCCAGCCCATGCCTGGGGCAGAGAGATGCTTAGTAAGAACCTGCTCAGTGAATGAGCAGAGCCACCAGGAATGTCTGAATGGGGATTCTAATAATCGTAATTGGGGCTATCCTGGAAGAACTAGGTCATATCCAGGAGAAAAAAAAAAAAATTCCTCTTTCCTTTAGTACAAAATGACAGGCATTCTTTTGTATACTAACATAAGTTGCATAAAATGGTACCATCAAATACAGTAGTGTGTTACTCTTATCAGCTCTTCTGTTACAATAAAAAAAAGTGTGCATGCTTTATTAGGGGAAAAATTATTATTAGAGTTTTCTACCTTCCAAAAGCATGAACGAGAGAAACCAGCCCTCTGCCTAATGAGGAGGTTTGGTGTGGGGGGGTGGGTGGAGAAAGAAGCTTTTATTGGGCTTTCACTTATTCCTGGTTGGTCCACAGGTATGATATGTACGGTAACTCAATTGTTCCTTCGAAGAATGAAGAATGCGGGAAACTGAGGCCAAAAGTCCGAGTACATTGCTTGGGAACATTCAGCTGGTTGAGTCTGGATTTGATCCAGAACTTCCTGACTTTAAAAATACCCTGTCCTCCCTTCCTCCTGCAGAATGCCCCCTTGCTTTGCCCCGCACAGTGCTTCCCGCAGAACTCAGTCGCAGCACTACACATGAGCCACACGTTGGATGAGGTGGTGGATGTGTCTCCTAGCATTTGAGGTCCTCAGTGTCTGGACCTTGTCTTTTCTATCTGAATTCCCTATAGGCATCCAGGAAATGTTTGTTGAAGCCATAAGATGCCCCCCTTTCCCACACGGTGCTCTGACTGCAGCCACATCATCATGTTAAAAAAGAAAAATTAAAAAGCAAGAATTTTCTCCAAAATTCTGCCTGGGATTTGCCTCAAAAGAGTTCACGCTGACAGTGTCCCCCCTGTGACTGTGGGAGTCAATCTGTCTGCTTATGGAATTTGAGGCTTTTAGAAGAAGGGACAAGGACACCACTCCACAGTTCATATGTAGTCATGAAACGGGGCTGGGCGGGACCAACCCTAACTCTTGAGTTCTCACCTCTCCATCCTAAAGCCAGTCCTCCCCTTTCCTCTTCTCTTCCTTCCCTTCCCATCACCACACCTCCCTTCCTCACTGCTGCCATAATGAATTTCCTAAAACTGGTCGTTACAAGTCTGGAACCAGAACTACCTGGAGAAGGGAACAGGGTGGTGGCTGGTAATCTATATTTTTACAATGCTCACTAAGGGATTTATATGGACTACATTATTTGAGAGACACCTCTATATATTCTAGAGTATTGAAGCTAGTTCAAGTTTTTATTTTACATTTGAGGTGAAGGATCTTGTCCATGGTCGCAGGGTGGGTCGGGAGCAGAGCCAAGGCAAGAACTCTGGGTCTCAAGAGCCCCTGCGGAGCTGTGTCCCCTGCTTTACACAGACCCACTGCACTGACCTCACAGTGGGAGGGCCTTGAATCCTGAGCTGTTCCAGAAACCTTAGTGGGTTATGGCTGATGGCCACATGGAGACTGGCAAGGT